GTTCCTTCCACCTAAGGGTGGGCACCCAGCACCTTGTGTTGAGGAGTGGCCGGGGGGTGTCGGGTGAGGTGGCCAGGGAGCCAGGTGAGTGGCCACCTCAGGCCAGGACAAGGGGGGCCGGCGGCCTGTCTGGCATCTGGCCTGGATGGGAGGGGATTCTGGGCGTCCAATGTCCAATGAGGGGAAGGGGGACAGGCCCTGCAGCCCCGGGGCTGGTGTTGTGGAGTCTGCTCTGGGGGCCTGGCTCTGCGCAGGCAGCCGGCTCTCTACCCTATTCCTGCCCACATCCTGCCTCCAGGGGCTGTGAGCTGCAGCCACGCTCTCAAGGGGCAGTGGGGGAGGGGGCACAGACTGCACTAAGTTCCTGAAGTGGGAGCCACCAGCAGCCCTGCAGGGAGCGGGGGAGGGAGGGGAGAAGCAGAATGTACTTGGTGGCCGCTCACCTCTAAGCAGCACCGGAAAACACCTGCCAAGAAAAGAGAGGCTTGGGGGTTCCCTGGGCCCTAGGCTTCTGGGAGGCTCATGCCCAGGCCTTGGCCCCACCAAGGACCAGTTATGGCAGAGCCAGCTGAAGGCTTGTGGTTGGGAGCAAAAGCTGAGCTGCCTGTGTCACCGTTTCTTCTTTGCTTGTTGTTGTTGCCGCTCTCTGACTGAGCTCCCGTGAGAGAGGCGTCGGTGCTCTCGATCTGCCTTCCACGTTGCCCAACGAGCTCCCTACAGAGCTCGTCGCTTTAGACGTTTCTGTGAGAATTTCTCCGTGTGGTCTTCAGATCCCCAGTTGCGCTCCTGAAACACATCAGGACGATTGCATTCTCTGTCTCAGTCCCTCTGTTTTCATTTCTGATACGATTTCTTGACTTGATAGTAAGCTTTGATGTTATTTACTGTTCATGTGTGCCTGTTCTTTTTTCATTAATGCCGATTGATTTGTAAGTTCTCGGTCTTGTTTATGAAGGCTATTCCTTTCTTTATCTTTTCGAAGATCGTAAAGACTTTGAAAATCACCTGGGTGGCAGCTGGCTCTCAGGGCAGTCTCACAGGACACATCCTTCTTCAAGGCCCCCTGCTGTTGGCTCAGGGCCCTGCTGGAGGCAGGCCCAGCAGCAGGCGATACAGAGCTCCCTGTGGTCCAGCAGCTGCCTGGCACTAAATAGGTATTTAGGAAGCATTTGTTAGGCAAGAGTAGTGGAGGGTACTAAGGCTGGGATTCTGGAACCCAGGAATGGGCCCAGTGTGGCTGCGACAGGTCTGAGTCGCGAGTTGGGTTTGGTGTGTTGCCCTTGGCCACACCCAAGGGCAGATGTGCAGGGTCCTGCCTGGAAGCTGGTAGGTACCTCCATCCAGCAGGCTTGGGCGGGGACGGGGCAGGGGGGCAGCTGCCATCTGCACATGTGTACAGAAAGCCCTCACTAGTCTGGCATCCAAAGAGCCAGAATTGGGCCAGGAAATATGTGGGTTTTGATTAAATGGAGTTTTAATTAAAGTGGCCAGGCCCGTGAGGGTGAGGAGGGAGGCAGGGAGACGCGCCGTCAGGGTCCGACTGCTGGGACTCCCGCGGAGCTGCCCTTCCAGGGCTCTCACGCACGGTCCCCGCGAGGTTTCTAGTTTGTACGGGACAGCTTCTGACCTCCGCTCCGTCCCCAGCAAGGGACCATCACAGGGAAATAACACATGATTAATATTTTATTTCCCCTCTGGGCTAGCAACAGAAGACTCGAGGATTAATTAGATGGACACAGCCAACAGAGAGGATTAGGAAATTGCCAGGCCCTGGACCCACCCCCGCTCCGCAAGGGCTCCTGACCTTCCTGTGGCTCCCGGAAGCCTCCGAGGGGAGGGAGGCAGGGAGGGCCCAGGAGGCCCCAAGACATCTTCCTGCCGCTGTATTTTCCATGGGCATTTCCCCTGCTCGATTCCACCCTTTTATGTTGTAAGGCCGGCTGAGGTCATTAGCTTCCTCACCTGTGACATGAGGTTCCCCGGTGCAATGAGAACACAGGCCACCCCCAACGCCCCTGTCAGGCCGCACGAGCAAGTTAGGAAGGTCTGGAGTACAGGCCATGTGCCCAGGCAGCCAGCCCCTTGGGGAACACAAGGTTTGGTGGCTCTGTGGTGGCTGGAGACCCGTCTCAAACTGACTGACTGTGTGCAATGATTCCTAATTCCTGTCAGTGAAATATTATTAGCTTGAAACTGACCATAATGGGAACATTTACACCACAAAAGCCTGGCAAAGGCCACAAGTCACGGTGTCCCCACCCCCAGGCCGATGTGTCTGCCTAAGGCTGGGAAGTCTCTCACTGTGTGCCCAGGCAGCCTTCCGGGACCCGGCCAGCAGGGCATTAGGCCTGTTTTTAGCTCCTTGCAAGGGGGACCTGGGCAGGAGGATCTGTTGCCACCAGTGAGACTTGGGGGCAGGGGCATCCCAGGCCTGGCGGCAGCAGGAAGGCAGTTCCAGTTCAGTCAGGGTGTTGGTATCGGGTGCTACTCCGCACGGGAGCCCAGAACGCAGAGGGCGGTGGGGGGACCCTGAGGACGGGGGTGTGCGGGCAGGCACCCGGGGCTGCTGGGGAGCTTCCCCGGGCAGAGGGCTGGGTGAGGTCCCTGGAAGGCTCTTCCACACTGGGCACCTGGCCCCTACGGAGCCAGCCTGGCACACAGGGCAGGTGTTGGCGGTGTGACTCAGCCCCGAGGAATTGCGGTGCATATTTTGGCCAGGTGGACCGTGGGTGGCCCCACATCGGCTGCCTCTAGGCAGGGCCCTCCGGCTCTGCACGACGGTCTGGGGCCAAGTGCGGTTTCTAGCCTGCACCAGCTGCCGCGGCGGAGGTTGTGACGCCTCTCAGTGCAGACTCTCCAGGACAGGCCATGCTGGGGTCAGGAGGATGGCAGGCGGCTGCAAGGAGCCCAGGAGGGAGTGGGCAGCTCACGGGTGCTGGGAGGCTCCCAGGGGCGCGCTGGGCTTAGCTGCGCCTGATTAGTCAGGGGCCTGCTGCTGCCGCTGCCGCCACTGCTGTGCCAGGGAGGCCACAGCTGGGAGGCAGACCTGGGCCTATTGCCTCCTTCTGCGGAACAGAGACGAGACCCCAGACACAGAGCCTCTTACATGGGGGCCCCTGATGAATGCTGCTCTCTGGCTGTAGGCTGGGAGCACCGGGGGACGCTGTGTGAGCAGGGATGGCATCGGGAGACTTCGCCTGGGCTGCCTCTGCACGTGACTCACTCTGTGAGCCGCTGGCTGACAGACACCCTGTGCATAGCAGGGGCTCGGTGGGACTTGTCTGTGCCCCTTGGTGCCGAGTCTGGGAGAAGACACAGGCTGTGGGAACCCCTGGGATTTGCAGGAGCCAGGCCTCCCCTCCTCCTCTCCTCCCCCCACCCCGGGGTGGGTGCACTTCTCCCAGCCTCCTAGTGGGCATGGGGAATGCCCCTTGGGCTCTAGCCACCTGAGGCGCATCAAAGTCGGAAGGAACTTGAGGCTTATCGATTGCAGACCTCTGTCACCTGGCAGACAGAGCGGGGGTAGCCTGGCCCTTTGAACACGGTGAGCGAATCTCTTCCAAGGTCACAGGCCCACTCCGTGCCTCGTTTCTCGGAGATAGGGAGCGTGCAGCCCCCAGGGTCCATGTGCAGGTAAAGGCTGCGGGCCTCCTGTCCCTGGCAGGCGGCAGCTGCTGCCCATGCGCACCTGGGACCCCACGAGAGTCTGGGGCTGGTGGGGGACGGATTTGGCATTGGGACACACCGTGAGCACACATGAGCGTGACAGGTTGGGACAAGGCAGTGGGAAGAGGTCTGGGGGCAGGCGGAGGAACGGAGACCGTCTCACAAGCTCAAGGGAGCGCACAGGGTTTGGGTTGGGGGGGCCCAGACCTGTGCCTCTGCCCCTAAGGGGTGTTGACAGTTCCTTACATCTCTATGGCATTTTGGCTCTGAGGAAGCCTTTTCACTGAAAAATGTTATGTCCTTCTCATAGAATCATGGGTGACAGCCGAAATGGCTCCCAGAGGCTATGTGGGGCCCAGCCTCCTCACATATCAATGGGGAAACTAAGGCCCAGAAAGGAAAAACACTTGTCCACAGCCCCCCAGCGGGTCTTGGCTGAGGGCCCCGCTTTCTGCCCGGCAACAGACTGAGCTCAGTCTGTCCTGGTGTCAGCCAGGCAGAGAGGCTGGGGAGCGGCGTGGGAGGAGGGAGGTGAGGTTGCTGCCCCGCCCAGATGTGCAATCAGCCAGCGGGGGCTGCTAAGGGGCGGGCTCCCTCTGTGCCTGTTCCACCGCCCTGTGTGCACCCCTGGTGAGGCAAGAGGGCTTGTCTGCTGGCGGTGGGAGACAGGACCAGGCAGCCTCCCCAGTCCTTCCAGATGGGGGCTCTAGGGGTCCTTGAGCCTGCTCCTGGCCTGGACAGTGTAGGGAGGCACTGGTAGTCCCCAGAGAGCTCTCGGGGGATGGCACTGACTGAGGCGGGCTGACAGACAGGGTGGGTGGGCCTGGGAGAGCCCAAGAGGCGAGGGGGCCTTTCCAGGACAGTCACGGGTGGCAGCGAGCTCAGGGCCAGGAGGGGAATAGGGCAGCCACAGAAGGCTTGAGAAGCTGAGCATGGGGCACTAGCACGAGTGACTAACTGTGAAAGACTCCCAGCTGCCCTAGAGAAAGCCAGAGCCCAGCCTGAGGGCCTCTGCCGGGAACCTGCGGCTGCGCCCGTGCTGCAGTGGTCCAGCTCCTCACGCGGTTTCTCCTCCGGCAGGTGCCTCGGGAACTTTGAAGCTGCGCTGAGCCACGATGCCGCCAGAACTTCCGGAGGGGGCCTGGATTCTGGGGACTCCGAACCAGCTGTGCAGAAGCCCTTAGGGAGCCCCCCTTCGCCAGCAGGCACGCTCTTGGCTCCTGTTAGGAAGGGGCTCGGGGGCCTGGACAGGGCCGGCTGCGCTGCAGCTATGGACCGTGAGCTGGCCCGGCCCGCGTCCTCGCCGACTCTGTCTGTCTGCGGCCACGCCCGCCATGGGCTCCTCGGTGTACATCGTGGTGGAGCTGGCCATCGCCGTGCTGGCTGTCCTGGGCAATGTGCTGGTGTGCTGGGCTGTGTGGCTGAACAGCAACCTGCAGAACGTTACCAACTACTTCGTGGTGTCACTGGCGGCAGCCGACATCGCAGTGGGGGTCCTTGCCATCCCCTTTGCTATCACCATCAGCATAGGGTTCTGTGCCGCCTGCCACAGCTGCCTCTTCTTTGCCTGCTTCGTCCTGGTCCTCACACAGAGCTCCATCTTCAGCCTCCTGGCCATCGCCATTGACCGCTACATCGCCATCCGCATCCCACTCCGGTGAGCTAGGGGCCGGGGCTGCCCGCGTTCGCTTCCCAGGCGCAGCTCGTGCTGGGTTCACAGATGGGCAGAGGCTGCCTGAGCTGGGGTCTGGTCTGTGTCTCTGCTCACGTTGAGCCCAGGGTCAGGATTTGGTCTGTGGTGTCACTGTGTTGAGGGATAGGGCCATGGAGCCCAGTCTGGGGCTGCCTAGGCTTGGCACGTCGCCAGCAGTCGTACCACTCTGGCCAGTCCTTGTGGGCACAGGGTACCCTGGCCCTTCCCCCGGTGTGGAGGCTGCCATGCTCTGGCTGCTGGCAGATGTGCGTGGCCCAGGCCTGGGCAGCGTGTCTGGCTGTTCTCCACACGGCGAGATGCTGGGGTGGGCGGGGCACCATGGGAAACCACAGGGCCTCAGATCTAGGCGCGCGCCACCCGCCTCCTCCAGCTCCTCTGGGCAGGCCTCAAGGCTTGCGCGTTAGGAAAATGATCCAGAGAGGGGAAGTGAGTTGGCCCAATGCCACAGTGAGTCATTTGAACCTATATGCAAATTCTGTGCTCCTTAGGTCACCAGCCTGTGCAGCAGGGCTGGCAGAGGGGTTTTCTACAGTCAGTCTTTTGTGAAGTGACTTCAGCCACTTATTGTGTAAGTGAAGTCCTTCCCTGGGGTTAAGTTTACTTAGGACAGCCTCCACCTACCCAGCCAAGGATGAGGCCAGGAAGTGTCCCTCCCCAGGGGCACCCTGGGGCCTCCAGCCCCACCTCTTTGCTCCTCTACCCTGGAGGCGGCCTGGGTGGCTGCAGGCTCTCAGGGAGGTCTCAGAGGAGGTCGCCCCATCCCTATGGTGAAGTTTCCCAAGCAGGCGGGCGCCTACCTAGGAGGGCACTGGAGGGAGCCTCAGAGGAGGCTCAATGAGCAAATGGAAATTTCGCGTGTCGAACCCAAGGGGGCCCTTAGAGGTCATTTCCTCCCCTTTTCTGGATGGAAAATGAGGGCCAGAGAGGGAGCTAGCCCTCAGGGCCACACAATGAGTTGGTAGCGCAGCTGGAACTGGGCCTGGGAAGAAACGTGGCCCGCCACCCACTGTGACTTCAGTCTTTGGGGAGCTGGGTCACAGGGTGTCCCTAGTCTCCCAGAACTTGTACCAGATGACCATTCCTGTCACCTGACTCTGAGAGGAAATCAGGCACCCTTGTCATGCTTCTCAGATGAGAAGAGGGCCCCGGGCCACATGTGGCCTGGGATGCTCTGAGTCTCAGGCGAGCCTTGGACCCCTGTCAAAACAGAGGGCTGGCCACAGTGGTAGAGCAGAAGCCAGAGTCCAGGCTCCAAATGCAGAGGCGCGTCCATGGGCTCCCAGCATGACTGGAGAGCCAAGGATGGGCGTCCACCACAGGGCAGGCGGGGCGTAGGCCGGGCCGGCCGGCAGGAAAGCAGAGGGCTCACTTTCACTTTCTCCCTGACTTAGAGGGCTGCGGCGCTCTAGAGAGAGACCAAGGCTGCTGGTCGCAGTGGGACGGGCCTCGGCTTCTTTTTCTTATTCTGTTTTCTTAATCAAAAGAGTGGCTCCCTGATGCAGGTGGGTGGGACACGCCGTGTGACTGTGGAAAGTCAGCTGTCCCACCCCCCGCCCGCCCCCCCCAGCCCACTTCCTCATCCGTAAGAGGGACGGGCCTCTCCAAGCTCACCAAGGTGCTGTGAGGGATGGGAGGGACAGGGCCCTGAGGAGGGCGGGCGGAGCGGGGCAGGTGTGGATCAGCTCTTTCTGGAGCTGCCAGAGGTCAGAGCCGAGCCCCAGGATGGAGCCGTGTGCCCGCCCCCCCCCGCCCCCCCCTCACCCCCGGCACCGACGCCTGGGGTCTTCAGAACGGGGCCTGGTCCCGCCCGGACCTTGGCCGTTAGAACTCCACTTGATAAAGCTTTGGCAGGCCAGCCTGGGTCTCTTGGATCAGGAAGCTGATAGAGATGAGGAAGAGGATGCTGCTCAGCCTTCCCCGTCACAGTTGCCAGAGGATGTTAGTGCAGCAGCGTCTCCTTTGATCCTGCCGCAGGCATTGTGGCCCTCCTGTCCTCAGGGAGAAGCCAGAGCAGGAGCAGGAAAAGGGTCTCCTGACACAGGTGACTCCAGGGTCCTTCACGCTGGTCCCGGCTCCCTTGGGTCCGTCCACCTTCCTACCCCTCGAGAGCCCTGGGCCGGTGGCGGCCAGGGAGGGCAAGGCCCACGAAGGTGTCCTTGTGGGGCTGGGCGGCACACCAGGGCCCAGAGCTGTGGGCGGCCCTGTGGCCACTGCCTGGCTGGGCTGCTGCTCCTGCCCCCCACTTTGTCCCCTTCCCGCTGGGAGCGCAGCCCCCTCCCACGTCATTTCCCACTCGTCCGTCCCGGTGGCTGCGGTGAGGCCTGGCCTCTGACCCACGCTCTGGTGCCTAACCCCAGGCCTGCACCACGCTCTCTCTCCCCTTTCTCGTTCTCTCTCCCGCTCCCTGCCTCCCTCCCTTCCTTTCTTTCCTGCTAGAATCCAGTTGCAGAAAAATCTGTGCGCTCCTTCCCAGGTGCAGAGTCTACTCGGGAAACCGATGAGAATAGAGCCAGGGCCGAGGCAGAGGCGGCCGCCAGAGTGCTGAGCAGCCAGGACCACAGGCTTTCCTCGCCCAGGGAACTTTCCTCCCCGTCGCCTCCTGTCCCTCACGTTAGCCCCCAGTGAGCAGCCTCCCTCCTCAGGATGTAGGCTGAGTTACATCTTGGGGCAATAGTTGATGCAAAGGCCTGAAGTCATACATGGAGGATCACCCCATGGGGACAAAACCTGCATGCCCTGGCTTATAAGGAGGGCAGGGTCAGGAGCGAGGGCTCCCTGGAGGTGGTGATGCTGACAGGTCTTGCAGGGGGCGGTGGGGGGGAGGGTGCAACAGCAGGGGTCCAGGCCTGGGCAGAGGCCCCAGGAAGGAATGAGCCCATGGGTGAGAGGTGGTGGAGACAGAAGAAAAGGCAGGCAGGGAAGTGTGAGGTCCGCTCAGGCCTGCCGGTGCCCAGGGTGGCATTTGGTCAGTGGCTCTTCAATCTTGGATCACTGGCTCCTCTGCCCAACTAAGGAAGCTGCCTTTCTCAGGACACGGCAAAGGCCCACGAAGCCCCACCTGCGGCTGTGGGGGGTATTCTCGGATCCTGGAGCGAGCCCTCCCTCAGTCGCAGGGGGCTCCTAGGAAGGGGCAGCCTGTGAGCTGGAAGACACTGGGAGGCAGCGGTACCCCCAGGTGTGGCCAGTGGCTCTGACACCCACTTCCTACGGCACCTCTGGGCTCCCTGGGACATGCTAGACGGCCATGTCCCCCCTTCCACCAGACAGTCTACGGCTAGGGCCCGGGAGGCCAGGACGTGCCTGCTCTGAGGCACAGGTGCAGCCCAGAGGGTGCTGCCGGGTCAGCCGGCGGTTCTGCCAGGGTTCCGTTTGGGCCCTCGTGCTTTCCTGGCTCCTCAGGGCCTTAAGCCTGAGTGCTTTCTTTTGAATAACAAAGCAAATCTGTTTGGTGTTTTAAAAAATAAATAATACCACCCTGGCTGGTGTGGCTCAGTGGATTGAGCACTGGCCTGCAAACCAAAAGGTTGCCGGTTCAGTTCCCAGTCAGGGCACCTGCCCGAGGGGCCAGCCAGGTCCCCAGGTGGGTGTGCAAGAGGCAACCATGCATCTCATGCACCGATGTTTCTCTCCCTCTTTCTCCCTCGCTTCCCCTCTCTCTACAAAAGTAAATAAATAACACCCGTGGATACAAAAACCTGGGACCACTGAAACATCAAAAAAGAACAAAAGTGTATTTGGTGAGAAGTTGTCCCCCTTTCCCTTGCCGCACCGCCACGTCCCTGCCTGGAGGGCAGTCTCGGGAACCCTCACAGACAATCTTTGCGCACTTAGGCAAGCGCTGTTAACGTGTGTTTTGTCCCCACAGGGGGCGTTTTTTGAGAATGCAGTGGCAGGCTGTCCCTCGACAACTGGACAGAACGGCGATTTCAGGCCATGTCCCATGTCCCCAGAAGCCTCCAGCCCGGCCCTGGCGTCCCCCCGGTCTTCATTCCGTTAAACGTCACCACGCCCCTCTCCGCCCCTGCAGCCCTGCTTCTGTACTTGCCGTGGAACGTGGCAAGGGGCCTGCTGCTGCCCAACAGTCTGAAAATCCAAAAAGCATGTGGCCTCTAGGGTCCTCTGCTCCGTCCCCGTAACTGTTCTTTCTTCTTGATTGCCCCGTGTGCCAGTCAGGTCCCCGCGGCCTGAGGCCGCCCGTTTCTCCTGTGGGCAGCTCAGCTGGCAGGCTCTCACCTTAAGCCTCGCTGCGGTCCCTCCCTGTGACTCCCACCCACTGACTCTGCACTCTGCCCCCTGGGCTGGTGCTCACAGGTCCCAGCGTCTTCGTCACCCTCTACAGATGAGGGAACTGAGGCTTAGAGAGGCAGGATGGCAGGAACGCCAGGGAGGGAGATGCTTTTCCCTGGAAAATGTTAACATTAAAAGGGCATCTATTGAATGAGAATATATAAATTCAAATTAAGAGTACAAAAATACACTTCCTGGCACAGAGCAAGTGCTGTGTAAATATTAAATGCAAAAGGAAGAAGAGAAAGAAAAGCCCACGGCTTTGTATTTGAGGCTCCAGAGTACGAGCGCTCTTGGTAGCAATGGGCAAGTCCGCGGCCCTCTTCCCGCACAGCCCTCCCTGCTGTGGGCGCCAGGCCCCGGGGTGGGGCCGTGCAGCTCCTGGGAACGGCCCTGCCCGGTTACTGTTTACATCCAGAAAGTTTCAGAATTGACAGACTTACCTTGGCCTGAGTTGCCTCTGGGCTCCTGAACATCCAGAGCAAGTCTGTGTCTCTGCTTGGGCCTGTGTCCCCACCTCTACAATGAGGGCTAGATAAGAGGTCTGAGGTCACCAGGTTTTCGTTGTAGTTTTCTTAATTTGAATTCGTTGACAAAATTTAAACCTTGGGAGATTTTACCCAGAAAATCAGCTCCCCAGCCCCTCCCGAGATGCAGCAGCTCTGGGCACAGTGTGCAAGGCAGCGAGGGGCGAGGGGCAAGGGGCGTGGGGCGCGCACTGCCTCCTGCGCGCGGGGTGGACGCCCTGCCAGCCTGCCTTGAACACTTGCTACCTGTAGGCCCCTGTGCTTGCCCCCCACGGTCTAGATGGTTTCTGTGGACGATTGCAGTCCTGGAATTAAGCGCAGCACATTCTCCCTGCGCCTGCTGTGTCCCTGTTTGCAGGAGAGGCTGCACCGGGGCCCCAGCTGCGGGGCCCAGGTGGGGCAGGGATTAGCTGCGCCTCAGCAGGAGGCTTCTCTGAGGAGGAGCCTGGCCCGAGCCTGAAGAGCGGGCGGGGTTTCCGAGGTGGGGGGGGGGGCGGGCAGTCGGGTGTTACCACAGGAGGTCATCCCTCAGAGGTCGCTGAGTCACCTTCCTCAGTTAGAGGACTTTTTGGTGCTTTTAATAAAATCTGTGCCACTTCTCCTGGGGACCTGGGGTAGCTTCCTGGCCAGCAGATCAGGCCACTCCCCGAGTGTGGGGCCGCGTCTGGCTCTCCAGAGCAGTGATTTTCAACCAGTGTACCGCAAGAATTTTTAAAACATGCAATACCTGAATTTGGAGGGGAAAGAGGGGGTTTCATTTGGCTTGGGACCTCCACCCCTCCTTTATCCCCTGTGCCGCCTCTCTCTGGGGGCTTCTAGAGACTCCAAAGTCCAGTGGGGAAGGAAGAGCACTGAGTATGAGAAGTGGGAATCTCATACTCTGTGAGACAGGTCTGGTCTGGCTGCTTCTGCCTCTGGCCAGTGAGTCCACCCTCCTGACCTGTTGCCACTCTAAAGGGAAACCTGTTCCAGCATCAGTACAATCAACGAGGAGGTGATAATGCCTCCCCTCCCCGCCCCCCCCCCCCAAATCATCACTTACTAATTTCCTCAAACGAGGACTACCTGTAACACTACTCAACAGTCACCTGAACGTCTGCACAGAGGCTTCCCTTTGCAGGGTGCCTGCCCACCTGTACCTCCTGTGAGGTCCAAGGCGAGGCTTGGCCCACCACTTAGCAGAAGAGGTCACTGAGGCTAGGAGTCAGGAAGGGACGCTTGGGTTTCTGATGCTTGGCTCTGCCCAGTCCTGGTTTCTCAGGCCTCTGACGCTGGTCCCCTCTCCCCAGGTACAATGGCTTGGTGACCGGTGCAAGGGCCAAGGGCATCATTGCCGTCTGCTGGGTGCTCTCCTTCGCCATTGGCCTGACGCCCATGCTCGGCTGGAACAACTGCGGGAAGCCGAAGGAGGACAGAAACCACTCGCAGGAGTGCCGGGAGGGCCAGGTGGCCTGTCTCTTTGAGGACGTGGTCCCCATGAACTACATGGTGTACTACAACTTCTTCGCTTGTGTCCTGGTGCCCCTCCTGCTCATGCTGGGCATCTACCTGCGCATCTTCCTGGCAGCCCGGCGGCAGCTGAAGCAGATGGAGAGCCAGCCTCTGCCGGGGGAGCGGACTCGGTCCACGCTGCAGAAGGAGGTCCATGCGGCCAAGTCGCTGGCCATCATTGTGGGGCTCTTTGCCCTCTGCTGGCTGCCCCTGCACATCATCAACTGCTTCACCTTCTTCTGCCCTCAGTGGGGCCACGCGCCCCTCTGGCTCATGTACCTGGCCATCATCCTCTCCCACTCCAATTCCGTTGTGAATCCCTTCATCTACGCCTACCGCATCCGTGAGTTCCGCCAGACCTTCCGAAAGATCATCCGCAGCCACATCCTGAGGCAGCGGGAGCCCTTCAAGGCAGGTGGCACCAGTGGCCGGGCCTTGGCAGCTCACAGCAGCGATGGAGAGCAGATCAGCCTCCGCCTCAATGGCCACCCTCCTGGGGCCTTGGCCAACGGGAGCGCCCCCCATCCTGAGCGGCGGCCCAATGGCTACGCCCTGGGGCTGGTGGGTGGAGGGGGTGCCTGTGAGTTCCATGGGGACACGGGCCGCCCAGACGTGGAGCTGCTCAGCCACGAGCTCAGGGGAGCATGCCCAGAGTCCCCTGGCCTCGAGGGCCCCCTGAGCCAGGATGGAGCAGGAGTATCCTGACGAGCCACCGAGTTTGCCCCTTCCTAAGGGAAGGAAGTCTTTCTCTTTCTGGTTGGTGGAACCAGTCACGGTGGGAGAAGAGTACATGTGCTGGGAGACCCTCCTCGTGGCTGGCTCCCACTTTGGACTGAGGAGGGAGCCCTGGCTGGCACAGCATGAGGCCCAGCCCGAAGGGTTTCGAGTCCAAGGAAGTGGACGTTTCATGCTGAGAGACCCGGCATCAGGCCAGGACCCCAGCACCAGAGCATCTAGGCCGGGCAAGGCCCGGTCCCCGCTCCGGAAGCATCTAGAAGTGCTGCCTTGTCTTCTGCAGAGCAGCTGCGGCAGAGCAGGCTGTCTGGCCCTGAGGCTGGGGGGTGGCCCCGACAGGCCCCCGCCACACACCCTGCCCTCCCGAGATTTTCCCAGGGCTCAGGGGCTGCTGTGCCCGGACGTGGCATGTGATATATTTTCCAGGAGGAAATGTAAGCGTGAAGATATTCTTTTTTTATTGTCCCTCCCTGGCTGCAGGGTCTGTCGTCGGCCCTGGTGCTAACCTGGCATCAGGAGTCGGCCGGGGGAGCCCCAGGCAGCCCTGTCCCACTGCTGTCAGCTGCTGTGTCCCTCTCACGCCCTCAGCCGCAGGGCCGACTTTTGGGGCGATTGAGTTGGGCGGGAGGGTGCAGAGCTGCAGCGGGTCAGGGCCAGCGAGTGGGCTCAAGCGGGGGAGGCCCGGCCAGCTGGCGGCCAGGGGTGACCTGGGGCGCTCAGAGCTGCCCAGACAGAGGCCCTGCCTAACTGCCTTTCTCTCTGAAGGGAATGTCTTTTTCCTGAGATAAAATAAAAATTGAGCCATGTTGTGTTTTAAGCTTGTCCAATGAGAATGGCGTCTGAGTTCCTTTCCCTGCTCTGCAGCCAGGCCTAGCACATACATGCAGATGCGTGCCTACGTGTGGGCAGACACCCTGCCTGCCTGGGGCTTCCCAGGCTCCCGTCCTGTGAGCAGACAGACTGCTTGCTGGACCAGAATCCAAACACGCATGCGCAGCCCCCACGACCAGGTCCGGTGAGAGGGGGCTGAGGGAGGAGGGGCTTTGCCGGTTGCTCTCCCTCCAGACACCGCTGACCCCCCCAGCCCCAGGCATTCCCTCAGAGGAGGGCTGGCTCCTCCCTCCCTCACTACCTTCCTGAAGTCCTTTAAGATCTCTGTTACTTCTGTGCCGTGCCCCACCAGCCCCCTGCCCTGCTCCACCCCGCAGCCAGAGGCCGCCGGGGGGACCTGGAGAGAGACCTGGGCTGGAGTTCAACTGCCCTCCCCTGGAGCCACCCGCCTCCTTCTCCCAACAAAGAAATCTGTGAGGAGCAGGTGTTTCCTGCCCTCGCGCCCATTCAGGCACCTCGCCCAAGGAGTGATGCCATCCGGGGGGAGGCGCGCAGCCCTCGGACAGGCTCGGGGTGAGTGTCCGCTCCGCGGGTAGCCCTCATACCACGTCGTTTGGTAGGTGGCTGGACAAGAGAGATGAAACTGCCCTTCTCAAACAGAAAGGTTTAGTATAGCTAGTAAGACGCAGGAATGAACTCAACCCCAGGTCTGTCTGCAAAAATCATGCTTTTTCCCCCTCATTAACTCATTTTAACCAAATTGTAAAGATTAAAATGATAACACATCCCCAGCACTCGGAAACATTGTAACTAGAGTGGAAGCGTTTGGCACCCCGACTCCCCCATCACCATAGTATTGCCCTGCTTCCTGCACCTGGAAACATCCGCTTCCCTGGATTTCATTTCACTCCATTGCACATCTTGACGCTTTTACTAGACAGAGGCTCACGTAAGTATCCCCAAACCAGCATCGCTTGGCGTTGGCCCTCTTTTACTGTGATGTCAGTGAGAGGCCCTCTAGGCTGGCTTCGCGGAAGAGACCCTTGGCAGGCTTTGAAAAGCACCGAGGCCCGAGCCCTTGCCCCAGAGACGCTGGGCGGGCCCAGGCAGCAGCAGTTCCCCGGGAGCCCCTAATGCACAGCCAGGCTCCGGACTGCCGACATCCCTGCATAAGCCCAGCCCTGGCTATGCCGGCTCCCTCCGCCCTCGCCATACCCTGGTCTGTGCCGGCTGTGGGCTGCGGGCAGAGTGGAGCTGGGCTGTGCCTGGAGAGGCCATGCTGCTGGTCCTCCCGAGAGAGGTGGGTGGAGAGAGGCCAGGAAGAGAGCCACAAAGGTAGAGCAGGAAGAAACATGGTACCTCCAGCCTTTCCTGAGCCCCTCGAGAACTAAGCTTTGGGTGCTGGGCTACACGGGTGCAGTCTTTGGAGTTGGGGCAGGACCGGGCCAGGGGCCCAGGAAAGGCTTCCACGTACAATGGAGCCACGAGCCCCCGGGCGGCCAGCCCATAGCTTGGCTCTGGTGACCAGGCCTCTCTGGGGTGCCCAGGGGGCCCAGGGTCCTACCTCCACACCGCCTCCCCATGCAGGCTCCCATGGTGAGCCAGATCACCAGTGAGTGCACGTGCCGCTCCCTGACCGTAAGAAAGCACAGGTGGGTAATGCTCAGCTCAGCAGGAACAGGCACCCGCAGCGGCAGTGGCAAGGAGACAAGAATCTGGGTCCAACCCGTGGCGTGCAGACTCCGGTCTGCTGGGGGCCGGGCCAGGGGACACGTGCTCCTGGGCCACGCCAAGCCCCACAGCTCTGTACAAGGGCCCCTCTGCCCTCTCCCAGCTCTTTCCAAAGGCTGAGGGCACACGTGCTTCCTTCTGGCCTGTCCCGAAGGACAGGGGTTCCATCACAGGACCCTGTCCCAGGGGCGGCCCAGCCCCACCCCGTGGCGAGTGTGGCCAGGGCTCACAAGGAGGCTTGTGGATTGAGGCCTGGCTCACCACTGGCTCCCGTGAGGGACAGGCCCCCTGGAAGACTCCCCACCCCCCTCCTCCACTCCCCACCCATCTTGAGCCTCTGCCTTTGCAGGCTCTCCCCTCCCCATTTGTGTTGCTGTCTCTTCCCCTGCGGGCCGGCCTCACGTAAAATGCTCTAGGCCCCTGGGGGCCTGTGCAGGAAGCAGGGGGCGGTGTGAAGCCTCAGTTCTAGGCGTGCTGACCAGGGAGCAGGCAGGGCAGGGATGAAGGGCCGCCCGAGAAGCAGGAGAAAATGAGATGCCGATGATGCCCCGGATCCACTGGGCTGGGCGTCCCCAAGCCGGGACCCGGGCCTTCCTTCCAACCCTGGTGGGGAAACAGGAACCCGCAGATCCCAGGGGGCAGGAGGGTCTGTGCAGCAGCCGGGATGGCACTGGGGCCTGGAAGCCGGCCCCTCCCTGTATAGCCACACAGCCCCTGGCGTGGCAGCTCCATGGCTCTCCCCGCGGTGGGCACTCTTGCCCTGAGCTCCTGTGCTGGGCCCCAGTACTGCCTGGGCACACCGCCGGGTGACACGGGTGACACGCCTCTGCTGACGGGTGGTCGCACAGGGAAGGAAGACCCGAGGTCTGCCCCGAGGCCGGTCGCTGCCTTTGGGCCCTCATCTCCGAAATGTGGCGAGTGCCCGTCACCCCCTCCCGCCTCCCCACACCGACCCCTCCCCTGTCCTGTGCCCCCCTCACTGCAGCTGTCCCTCATCATCTGCAGTGTCACTGTTGGAACAGCCCCTGTCAGGCTGCCGAGCTGGGGACGGGGTGGGGGAACCTCCGACTCGGCCTCAAAGAAGAGGGATGGACACAGAGCCCCGAGCCCCGGTGCGGGAGGCACATTTCTAGACGGCTGGCTTGGCCCTTCCTTTTATCAGAGGACAGAGAGCGGCCCTGGAGGCCTGAGCGCAAGGACAGACCAGGCCATGAGCAGGAGGCTGGGCTGGTGATGGGGGGACTGGCCCAGCGCCCTCTGAGGGAAAGACTTCAGGGAAAGTCCAGTGGGAAAGGCTCCGCGCGGAGCCATCCACATTTCTTTGCCTTGCCCAGGGAAGTGTTTGAGCGTGTGTGTGACTGGCAGAATCGGCTACTGGACTGGCACTTAAAGACAGCAAGCCCTCAGGGGAGCAGGCTAGACCTTGGGCCCCACCTCCCAACTCTCTGTTCCTCTCGCAACTGCTTAAAGAGCACCTGCTTTTGAATGCTGAGCCTGGGGAGGCCATGGGGTGGTGGTCGCGCCCAGCGAACCATCAGCCCCCTACGGAAAAGAAGCCAGAAGCCAGTCGGTCGCAGCCTGCCCTGGCGGCAGGGGGTGACGGCCGTGAGCGCACAGGCTTCGGGAGTTCAGAGGTGGAACAGGTCCCGTCCAACTCAGCAAGCAGGCTGGTCAAAGTTGAGTTAACCTTTCTGGGCCGTCTTTCCAAGGGGGTTGTTAGGAGGTGGAGGAGGAGCTGAGTGAATGTGCAGCACTTGATCTACATCTGCCTACACGGAATTATGCCATCCCTTTACAGGCAATTTTCAAGTTAAAATGTTGTCAGAGGGCTGTCACAGTTTTGATCTTTCTTTTCTGCTCATCCGCCCACACTTCTAGTTGGGTTGGAAAGGGGAGTGAGGGCGATAGAGCCTGGTTTAGGTTCAGAGATTTTTGGAATTGTTCAAGTTAGACAGGACTTAAAAAAAAATCATCTAGTTTTCCTGTCAGAGAATTCAGGCCCACAGCCCAATGTCACAACCATTCTGTCAGCTGTAGAGCTTTCTAGAGGCCGGGCCAGGCCCTCTGCAGTCTGTCTCCTGGGGTTTCAGCCTGGCTCTTTTGTGCTCTGGCCAGAGGTGCACAATAATCCCCCCGCCGCGCGCCCTCCACCTGCGGGCGCCTCACTCTCTGACCTGCTTTTAGAAAACACGAGATAAACGTGAAAGTGTTTTGGAAGGTTTTGTAACATAAATGCCCAGGATGATTATCAGTACAATAACAAATCCATTCTCCGTTCAGAAAACACAGGAAGGCAAGCAACCATGACTTTGCTGTCCTCACTATCAGAGGGAGGAAAGGAAGTAGGAAGGGAAGAGAGGCGGAGGGGAAGGGGGCCGCTTGCCCGCTTCTGTTTGCCGCTTGCTGAC